TAATATATTATAGATTTTTATTGGGCGATACACTGTATTATTATTATTAAACGATTGTTGGGAAATTTTAATAGCGATGTTTTAGAATTTATAGCAGGGTATAAAATACTGATATCATCATGGATGTACGGYGTTGGCGTAGTCGTGTATTCTGTATTTCTATAAAAATAATATATTATCAAGCTTTAGTACTTTACGATTCAAAATACAATAATAACTTCGTTGAAAGAATATTAATAAAACATAAATTATTTAAATTAATTTGCAAACGAAGTAAATATATTGATATTTTCATGTATGCCAGACGTGATTCTACATAGGTTGATATATTATATATTTGCACAATAATTGCACCTCGTACATCACAGTATAAATGTAACTCACTCTCTTTACAAATTTAACCGAGTCTCTTACAATATAAAGTCATGTTATATATTATATAGACGGACAAACGCATGAACGCAAATATCGTAATATTAAATAATATATTTTCCTTTGTGTGTTTATTTACCAAGTGTAAAACACATTCGTTTCTTCATTCTTCAAATGGAATTATATTATTATAACCACGAAAAACTTTTCCACGTCACTTTTAAATTTTATACGAGATACTATAATTCTCATGCTTCTTTTCATAACAAAGTTTACAAGTTTCACGACTTGCGAATCTTTTCACGCGTTCTATAATGTTCTCGATGTCAGGTTTTATAGTAATATTTCTTTAACAAATAGAACAATTTTTTTATATCAATTGTCCGACAACCGCTTACTTTTTTATACGACGTTGAATTTTAATTTTGCATGAGTATACCTACATACTACATTGTTAAATATTACTAAACATGTACCTTTAAACTTATGCAAATACATTATATATTTATATGTACAATAAAATATATATTATATACCGACATTATGGTAAACAAGTATAGTGATCCAAAAAGTTTCATAGCTTTTATCAAAAATATGGCCAACGGGTTGATATTTGTGGAATATGCAATTAAGATTATTTCACAAAGATACAACTAATTCAGGATGGTAATTGTATTTTGACTATTATTTTATAATGCAACTGGATACCTACTAGTAATTGATACAGGATTTTGATAACTGAAAGCTTAATTGTATAGGTACTGTATATAATAAACGAGCATACACGAATGGAAAAAAACTTGAGAATACTACGGTAAAGTTGTAAAATTTTTTCCTTGTACAATTCTATGAATAATTCAAAGATTTCATGGAATCCCATTTATAAACTTTTAATAACTTCGTAAAACAAATTCAAATGATTGGTATCCGATTTGTTTGTTTCATTTGAATCAAACTAACGAGTAAGGAAAAAATAAGCGAATCGTCATCTAATAATAAATTGAACATATTATTTCGTATTATTTAGATTTTGATATTCACGAAGAAATAATAATAATTATATTCATTACGCAATCTGTCAATATTGACGTAGTCGTACGTACAAAGCATGAGATGTTAAGATATTGACACAACTATATTACTTTTTTTACAATTAAATAAACAAATTAAAATAATATAAATCCGAGGTATGTGGTAACCAACGATATATWATTATTATTATTATTATTTATTATGCATGTCGATGGTACTTATTGGAACCGGAATGACACGATTCCRATAATCGTCGACCGCGGCACAGCAAACGCATTCAACGACATCGTTTATAATAACGTCATCTCGCCAACACAGTACGCGTAGAACCGGTGGTATAAATATTATTGTTGTCCAAAAATTATGTTCATAGAAGAAAATAAATCCTATAGTTTCGTTTTGAGAATATAATATTATATTATTCAGTCCCGAAAATTCTGGACAAACTGCGTATATTAGCGCGGGCGGTCCAGTAGGTCGTTGTAGTACAGTTTACAATAATATTATACAGTTTCACTTTCGCGAAATGCGTAGAAAACAACTTTTACACGGCCACGCGGCTGATATGTTCATCCGTTCGTCGGCCGCGATCGTCATTACTTACCACTATTATTATTATTATTATTACATGTATAGTGTATACTGTATACCTACGCATGTAGCATAATATAAAAATAATATGGTATTATTAGTATCACAAGTGGACGACGAAAAACTAGTCGGCGACGTCACTTTCAAAAATACTTAAATACCAAGGCACCGAATCACCTTTATACTGCCACGGTATAGTGAATACGCCATGCAAATAATAATAAGTAATAACTAATAACACGACTATTATTGTGATAATTATTAATTATGCATAAATTCCCGACGAACAACYATTAATTATAAAATAATATATAGTCCGGCGGATGTGATATCGTAGTATTAATTATCATGAATTGCATCGATTAATGCACTTGGTTATTGGTTATTAACTCATAAGTCATAATAATACTTAAAAATTATAACGTAGTGTTCTAATCAAGGATGGGTATTGAAACTACGCAAAACGGAACATTTTTAAATTACTYGTACATATTATACGTTTTAAGTAGGTCACGCATGATGTACATGACGTAATGTTTGTATATTAAGACTCCGACCGAAATGTTTTGGACGTGAGCATTTTTTGTTCGATAAGTCGAGATTATCCAATTTAAAGTAAAAAAAAAAAAAAAACGCACAAGTACGCCACTGAGAACAAATAAACTACTGAACTATACAACGGTATCCACGCGGCGGAATATTCCGTCGCACTTGCCACCTGGCCATCATCGAGTTGTTCATTATCACGCATATAACGACGACCGCGCGCGAACAGCAACARTCTGCTTTCGTCTTACTTTCGAGCATATTTCAAACAGTTCTAGTCGTAGTGCAATCGATTTGAAACCAAAGAGAAATTATTTTTTTTAGGAAAAGGGTGTACTATATTGTACGATATAATTAGTAATATCCAATTCAATCCACCTGTACATCACGCGCATTACTAGAATATATGCTAAATACTTAATAGTAACAACTATACTAAATTAGTATTAGATATTATATTTAAATCGGTGGCCAATATAAATTGCGTATTTTTACAGCGTTGTTACACATCAGTATTAAACGACAACGGTTTTATTACGTATATATTCTTCTTATATAATTATTAGCGATTATTCCACGCAAGGCCTGCTCAAAGGATAGACGAGATAGGTCATCCACTCCTATTGCGATATTTTCAAAACAGTAATAATAATAATATTTTAGGGGTGTTGCCTATAGTGCACTGTTTTTTATTTGTTCGAGCCGACCCTGGTTCCACGTGCGAATTAAAAGAGCACATCAATTTTACTCGAAACTACAAGCCCCGTCGCGCGTCAATCTCTCAGACTGAACTATTGGTAAATTTCGAATCTCTAAGTGTGTTAATTTTGATACAAAACGCGGCTGTGGCGRAAACAATTGAACAAACCATCCGGTTTGTTTGGAGGACCATACACCTTAATTTGTCGACTAGGTACAGCATTGCAACATTCAAGACTGTTTTAAAAAGATACTTCGATTCGCATAAATTTCGTACAGAGGWTAAAGAAAATGTAACTCAAGTTAATTCCTGACCATCAACTCTATGACCACCTTTGACCAGTAAAATATAAAATATACACCGCGGTCAGACACTCGACGGGTTRGTAATTTGGTATGCTATCCTCTCAAAACACTTTGTGGGAACACAAARCTGAATATTAAAAAAATAAAAAGTGCGCGTTATTTTACACAACGAAAATAATAATTGTTTTTATATTATTATTACCTCGTCGTCGGCCGGACGGCAGCAGGCGCGCGAATCACTTGGCGGAGAACGGTGCGATGTGCGGTTAACGKTGGTGAGCGGGTGGGAAACGGGCAATCGCGGTCATCTTTACGGGCGACTGCGCGACGACGACCGTATATATACACTCGCGTCACGTGCGAGGTGAAAGAATGATTTACACAAGATCGAGGTTTTGTATTAACCTTGGCGAGAGACATCGCCGTCGCCATCGTCGTCATCGTATTATTACGAAACCAATAAATATATCAAACTAGAATACGAATTAATATACGACAAACGACGGCCGAGCGCATAATACCTATTATAAGTACAATAAAGTACCTATATGTTATTATGGATAACTTGGTTGCATATTTTATACAAACAGTCTTATTGTTTTTATACACATTATACCTACTACGATGTGTATAATATTGACTCATTTCTAAACTAAACTAGATTATATAGGAACTCCGAATGCAACGAATACAAAATAAAGTATAAATATATATAGTATAGTATGACAGAACACAGAAGTCAGTATTATGACGTTCRCGACACGATGTATAATTTTCATAGTGTTTATTACGCCCTATGATTTGCTAATACAAGTTATGATCTACACTGTTATTCTTATTATTGTTGCCGGTTTATAATATATATATATATAGTTAGATATTAGCAAAGACAAAAAACTGTACTCGATGCCGAGCGTTCAGTTTAAAACTAAAAAAAAAACCAGTGAACTGAAAATAGTAATAATACCCTGCAGTTGTATAAATAAATTGTAATAGCTTAAAAGTTATAAATTTATAATATAATATTATAATAGAATTATTGAGWCGAACGCAACCGCGAAGATGATGCCGCGAATGTTGCACGGAAAACAGACGACAGCGRAAGAATGTGCGGTCTGTGCAATATAGAAATACGATACATTATATATATTACGATACAATCGAATAGCGCACTCAAAGATAATACTCAACAAGACGAGTTCGTATTTTTTTACTTTATCCTCGATAGACTTAACGCAGACACAACTCTGATCGTGTAAGGTCGTGCATATTATAAGTATTACATTTTAAATAAGCAACACGAATATTAAATAGAACGTCGATTCGAATATTTTTCAAAAACAATCGTAATCCACAGTAATATTACTTGGATTTCAWAAATAATTGAATGAGAAATTTWAATTTTAAATTTTTTTATGCGAAAGAAGAACAAAAAATATGTTTAAAATTCTTACCTTTGATGTGCGGTAATGCARTGTCCGTGCAGAGTAACTCCTGTAGGTTCATGAAACAAATTCACATAACCTAAAAATMAAAAAAATCTATAATTAGGTATGTACCTACATAATGTATTTCATAAAATTATCATTTTTTAAAAGTATTATTTAGTTCCTATATATAATACGATAGTAATATGAAGTTAGGTATTTAAAAAATAATAAATCCTTAATTAATATAAACCTTTTTAAAAACATTTTACAATCCATACAATAAATTTGAYAAGTRCCTAACTAGATAATTAGATTAATAACTTTTACGATCGAAATAGGAAGGCTTTCGGCGTTTCCACTTGACAAGATAAAATATAAACTTATGAATATCATATATAATTAATTATTATATAATAGATTTTATCGATTGGTCGAAAACTTGAAATTAAACCGTCGTGGAACAAAACTGGTTAAAAAAAACGTTATTATTTGCGTGAGCCCTTTTTTCTCTACTATAGCAGCTGATAATTAGGGTCAAGGCTGCAGTCAAATTACGGTTCTATAACAATTAAATTATTGTCGCCAAGAGATTGAGATTATTTTGTTATTATAAAACACACGCGGCGATGTGATAAATACCAAACACCGTGGTGCGGACGGCGATTTCACATTTTTTTAACACAACCGAATAAAAACATTCATCTGTTATAAAACAACTATTATATATAGTACGAAATCACGTGGACGCGGTGTATTCGATTTTCGTATAGGACGACTGAGCAGAGAAACAGACCAGCATATTATAGTTTATATTCACATAATTTCAYAGGGGTAGTCCTTTAGAAAAAAAAAATAATAATAATCATTCGGATGGGTTTAATATAAGTCGACCGGAGATCCGTTGTTTTTCCGGCTTGACATACAGCCGAAATAATTTGTCATTAATGCTGCGTCGAGCACATCACGCATATTATTATTACTGTAACGGCGTCGTCCGTCCGGATAACAACAAGGCATGCATATTGTATTTTTTTTTTTTTATCGTTACATTACGACAAAATGTACAACTTTAGGAGAATATACGTCGCGAGCGTTCATTAAACGAGAGAAACGCGATCGGTATCTCACCCGGATCTGCAGTGGCGCGCGACGGCCGAAAACCCGAGTGCGCGTAAAACGAAATACAATTTGAAAAGAGACTTATTGT